TGAGTGAGCATAGTTCTACGCCGCTTTTAGCAATATTCCAGCAATATCACGGCGGCTGACACCAGAAATGGGCTTCATACATTGTACGGATAAATAAAACCTGAACGTATATATACTTGCAGATGTTTTGGACGAGGTCAATATCAGAATAGGGCAAAATATTTTGAGACAAGCTTGTTACTTGTTGGGTAAATAAGACCTACATATATATACGTCTCCGTCACGTGCTACAGAACATGCATACACAGGTAGGACGCCATTATCTCGCTGTGCCTCAGGTCTGATTGAGTCCATGATGACTGAATAAACACATGATAATCTCCTCACAATACTGTTCTCTCCCAAAGGACATGTGTTATATTTTCTTCTACGCACGTGACATTGTAGGACAGTCAGTTGAGCGTTTTTCTCTTTCATGAATTTTGCTTTATCTTTTTCCGTAAAATTCTCCCAGATGAGAGTAAAAACAATATAACAATACCTGCTTGGCATTCAAGCGGCTTGGTCCTAATTAAGTTGCAACCATGCAGCAGGTTTAATTTCACTGTATTTATTTGTGACTATAGTTCAACAACTTTGCTACAAGTCGCCAACGCTGAGCACTTGTCGTCTAATGGCATTTTGCAACGCATTTTTTTACAGCGGATGTGCACATGTCGACAAAGACGGTTCACACATCCGCCGGAAGTGCCATCCACGAGAATATAGGTCCTCAAAACCACAAGCATTTCCCCAGTGGCTGCGCATACAGACACCACTGTTGTGTGTTAGCCACCACGTACCGTGTTTGTTGTTTCACTGTCTGTGTATATTTATTGCCAAGGGCACATAACTCTCAACTACAGTTCATCGCATAGCAGTTCTTTCCAGTTTCACTCGGAACCCACACACGTGACAGGTGACGCAATGGAAACCGATTGTTATGGAGTTAACCCCTATTCCCTGTTCAGTAACGGCTATCTGATGTCCTCAGAGTAATAGAATACTTCTACGTCGGAAAATTCACACAAGCTTGCAAGAGTCCAAGTCAAGTATCAATCGAATGCATAGCAATGCAAGGAGCGTGGGTCGTATATAGATCGTCTACACTACTGGAACACGACCAAATACAAAATCTGAAACATAATGCTAACATGTACATCTGTTATCATGCATTTCTTTTGTTGGAATACATATAAGGAGCAATGTATGTCCAGCACCACTCACACACAGCATATTGAACATGTCTGGAACATGCCGTATAAATCTCTTCTCACACGGAAAGGGTGGGCGTTTAAAGAAAGTATTACAACGTTTATGTTCTTGTAACACGTCTAATATAATAGGGCTGACCAACCTCTCTCTGCGGCATATGAGAATCAGTATTCTGTCACAATACTTAGGTCTCCATGTTACTGACAGACAGACAAAATTTATTCAAATTTTAAGGCCCCAGGCCCATACAACAAATACGTAGACATAACACTGGTGAAGGTACAGCAGGTGTTTCTATACAGTTGTTACATCCCACCCCCTCGTCAACCCGCCCCCTCCTCGATAACACCTCCATCTGGAGCTACTGAAGGAGGAAGGGGGTCACATGTCTCCCGCCACACCCATGTACACGCCACTATTGTTATCTGTCGGTGTTCGAGAGATTCCCAGTGATGTTAATGGGAGACAAGTACAGCATGCCGACATTAGGCAACGTTTGTGTTGCATTGTTACGTAATTTGGTGTACCTTGCCAGGGTTACACTTCAGACATGAAGTCAGGAATCAGGTGAGATGTCACCGTGTAGTGAAGCTACATGGCTGCTTGTGTCAGTGATGTGCCCAGCTGGACTTCACTTCCATCCATACCGGTGCTCATAGCAGACACAAGCGGCAAATGACAGTGTTGCATGATTGGTAGTATGCTGCTCTAGAAGAACGTTCTTCTTTTCACGAGCAGACCGCGTGTAGCAGTCTTCCTGCCCCATCTCCTGGAGCATCGAACATTGAAGAGAGGAAGACGGTATATGTTATACAGCTGCTACAGCACAAGGTGTTTTTTCCATGCAGTGGTGTGAATACATGGGGTGATATGTTGGCCCGGTTCGCTTAAAGGAGAATACGAACGAAAACAAAACTTTTGATATATTGTAAAGGATATTCAAAAAGTCACATTCCGTGATTAAAATTGAACAAAAAGTTTGTAAAATAGCAATAAAAACACAAAAACGTACTCGTATTACCGCCTATTACGGAAACACCCGACAGTTAATGAGCAGAGGGGGTATCACGTGACATGACGTCATATGTGCCTGTTGCTGATACTTCCTCTTTGCTTTTACCTCACATCATAACAGTGTCCGTGGATTCTGAAGCAGTAAAAGCTGTTCCTGGTGTCATTTCTGAAATGGATGTTAGACCGTATCAATACGATCCGATGTTACATCTTGCAAGACAATCTTCCACTGAAGATGAAGAAGAAGAATCAAGCGAAACGGAGGCACTGCTTGAGTTCAAAATACATCTTAAAATAGACCATATCATTTAACAAGATTACTATTTGTCAGTAAAATGTCATACAGTTCCTTCCAGCAAACTCACCCCTATAAATATATGACCAGTCACTAAGAGTTTTTTTAGTTTAAATGTGATTACAGTTCATTTTGTGTCAAATGGGTGACTGTAGGGTGTCTGAGATTTAAAATCAAAATAATTATGCTTCAGAGGAGGGAAAATAAAAATTATCTGCTTCAAAAATTACACTGGAATTAGTTTGTTGTCATACAGACACTGAAACAAATATATCCAAGAAAGCCCATGCAAGTCTAGAATATGTGGGAATTTCCAGTTTCAGTCTATGGCTTCTTTTCATCATATTTTACGATCATATTCTATGAACAGTGTTTTTCTGTAACATATGTTCATGTCAGCGACTAGATGTGAGTCTATAGGGGAGGATATCTGCATAGCCGCCCATATTCTGCTGAATGGGACTGATCTGGCCTGTGTATCATGCCGACATCTCTAACCGCCAGTGGATAGGGATGCTGTATCACCCAGAGGGTCACCTGTTGGCGAGGTGTTCACGGGGTGATGTGGCCTGTGTATCATGCCGAAAACTCTAACCGCCAGTGGATAGGGATGCTGTATCACCCAGAGGGGCACCTGTTGGCGAGGCGTTCAGGGGGTGATGTGGCCTGTGTATCATGCCGAAAACTCTAACCGCCAGTGGATAGGGATGCTGTATCACCCAGAGGGGCACCTGTTGGCGAGGTGTTCAGGGGGTGATGTGGCCTGTGTATCATGCCGAAAACTCTAACCGCCAGTGGATAGGGATGCTGTATCACCCAGAGGGGCACCTGTTGGCGAGGTGTTCAGGGGGTGATGTGGCCTGTGTATCATGCCGACATCTCTAACCGCCAGTGGATAGGGATGCTGTATCACCCAGAGGGGCACCTGTTGGCGAGGCGTTCAGGGGGTGATGTGGCCTGTGTATCATGCCGACATCTCTAACCGCCAGTGGATAGGGATGCTGAATCACCCAGAGGGGCACCTGTTGGCGAGGTGTTCAGGGGGTGATGTGGCCTGTGTATCATGCCGAAAACTCTAACCGCCAGTGGATAGGGATGCTGTATCACCCAGAGGGGCACCTGTTGGCGAGGTGTTCAGGGGGTGATCTGGCCTGTGTATCATGCCGACATCTCTAACCGCCAGTGGATAGGGATGCTGTATCACCCAGAGGGGCACCTGTTGGCGAGGTGTTCAGGGGGTGATGTGGCCTGTGTATCATGCCGACATCTCTAACCGCCAGTGGATAGGGATGCTGAATCACCCAGAGGGGCACCTGTTGGCGAGGTGTTCAGGGGGTGATGTGGCCTGTGTATCATGCCGACATCTCTAACCGCCAGTGGATAGGGATGCTGTATCACCCAGAGGGGCACCTGTTGGCGAGGCGTTCAGGGGGTGATGTGGCCTGTGTATCATGCCGACATCTCTAACCGCCAGTGGATAGGGATGCTGAATCACCCAGAGGGCACCTGTTGGCGAGGTGTTCAGGGGTGATGTGGCCTGTGTATCATGCCGAAAACTCTAACCGCCAGTGGATAGGGATGCTGTATCACCCAGAGGGCACCTGTTGGCGAGGTGTTCAGGGGTGATCTGGCCTGTGTATCATGCCGACATCTCTAACCGCCAGTGGATAGGGATGCTGTATCACCCAGAGGGGCACCTGTTGGCGAGGTGTTCAGGGGGTGATGTGGCCTGTGTATCATGCCGACATCTCTAACCGCCAGTGGATAGGGATGCTGAATCACCCAGAGGGGCACCTGTTGGCGAGGTGTTCAGGGGGTGATGTGGCCTGTGTATCATGCCGAAAACTCTAACCGCCAGTGGATAGGGATGCTGTATCACCCAGAGGGGCACCTGTTGGCGAGGTGTTCAGGCAGTGATGTGGCGTGTTAAGCCACAGCGAACCTTCAACATGACAGTAATGTAAGGTTAACTGATGGTACACGGTATATGTAGACTGTTCGTCCTGTATTTACGGATGGGTCTGAAGAGGGGCAAGTGTTGTTATTCGTCAGGTAGAAACCAGTGAATGCCTCATCTGTGGGCTTTTGATAATTAGGCAGAAACGGTGAATGTTCTCACCAACTGTGGGCAAGTTGTACGCACATAAAACTCACTCAAATAGGCATACCTGTGTACGTTCACTCACTCGTCTGCTTCTTTACCCGCTTGTCTACCTCTTCAGGTATCACCGACCATTTGTAGTCCCAGGTGTACGTCACCTGACAGACCCATCTGTATGCGACCCTCCCTCCACGCCTACTTTACGCCCCGGGGCGGTGAGATAGCCTAGTTAAAGCGTTCGCTCGTCATGCCGAAGGTCCGGGTTCGATCCAGACATGGGTATAATGTGTGAAGCCCATTTGTAGTGTTGATATTGCTTGAATACTACTAAAAGCGGCGTAAAACTAAACTCACTCACTCACTGCTTAACACCCCTCACCCTTTTCTCAATCCCTCATGCACCCTGTTCCCCTACCCCCGTGTCTAACGTTTCTGCTCCGCCCCCTACGATCTCTGTCCACCACTGCTCTACCATCCCTACACACTCTGCCGTACCCCCACTACCCCTGTACCCACCCCTATTGCACCTTCCCCACGCCCCTACTGCACCATCCCCCACCCCTATTTAACCTTCCCCACCCCTACTGCACCTTCCCCCACCTCTATTTAACCTCCCCCACCCCTACTGCACCTTTCCCCACCCTACTGCACCTTCCCCACCCCTACTGCACCTTCCCCAAGCCCCTACTGCACCTTCCCCGACCCCTACTGCACCTTCCCCGACCCCTACTGCACCTTTCCCCCACCCCTACTGCACCTTCCCCCCACCCCTACTGCACCTTTCCCCCCACCCCTACTGCACCTTCCCCCACACCCCTACTGCACCTTCCTAAGCCCCTACTGCACCCTTCCCCTGCCCCTACTGCACCTTCCCCACCCCTACTGCACCTTCCCCACCCCTACTGCACCTTCCCCCACCCTACTGCACCTTCCCCCACCCCTACTGCACCTTCCCTCCACCCCTACTGCACCTTCCCCCCACCCCTACTGCACCTTCCCCCACACCCCCTGCACCTTCCCCACACCCCTACTGCACCTTCCCCACGCCCCTACTGCACCTCCCCCCCCCATTTAACCTTTCCCCACCTACTGCACCTCCCCCCCACCCCCTACTGCACCTTCCCCCCACCCCTACTGCACCCCCCACTGCAGCTTCCTCACGCCCCTACTGCACCTTCCCCACGCCCCTACTGCACCATCCCCACCCCTATTTAACCTTCCCCACCCCTACTGCACCTTCCCCCACCCCTACTGCACCTTCCCCCACCCCTACTGACCTTCCCCACCCCTACTGCACCTTCCCCACCCTACTGCACCTTCCCCACCCCTACTGCACCTTCCCCCACCCTACTGCACCTTCCCCACCCCTACTGCACCTTCCCCGACCCCTACTGCACCTTCCCCACGCCCCTACTGCACCTTCCCCACCCCTACTGCACCTTCCCCAAGCCCCTACTAATGCCCACGTCCACATGTTCATCATCCCAGCCCGTCGGTGATGTCTGCGAAGCGGAAGTAAAATAGCATCTGTCTCCAAATGATACAGACAATGTAACGACATCGCCCACTTCATTTTTCTGATTCAGCAAAAGGTCGGACGGCGACGAAAATAGCAATAAGATAAGAGCCAGAATATATTACAGTGAATATTGGAGAGGGATGCTAGTTGTATATGGAAACTGTGAACTGATAAGTCATAGATTGGATTAAAATCCAGAGATGTGCCTCGGCGCCATTGGCGTGCCTTGTGTTGTTTTTCCCGTAGAGTATATATAGAATTATTTGATATAAAAGGCAAGCTGCCCCTGTAGCGTGCTGCTGCTGATAGTCTGTTCCGCCGGGTCTCCTCTCTCATCCAGATGGAGGGTTATTTAAACAAACATTCGTCAGTTGTGGCGAGAGCTCAAACAGAGAGATTTACAGGATAAAAAGCTAAGAGTTACGGTGAGCAGTGATAACACAAGTGTTCGGGGGTCATGACCCCACATGGTGCACGTGACACAGCCTCACCTGGCGGTAACTTCAAAGGGCACCCCGCCCAGGTGTACCAAAACACGGAATGTTGTGCCGAGACCTAGATACAGTCAATCAGGTCATGTAATGACAGTAATAAATGCCGATATATGTTTGGGGATTAACCAGGTCGGGGGTAGATCAAGAAATCCTACCCTGTCCGGGAGAGTAGAGTCATTCAGCGTGTCAGGACAAAGCCGCCATGTGTGGAGAAGTAGGGCGCACGTGTGTGTGCCTTAATGCTGCTGGAACCGGTATTTGGATGTACTCAAACCACAAGCAATCGTTAGCAAGAGTAACCAAATAGTGTACCACACGCCCAAAGTATAGTGCACAGCTGTATCATGTATGGCGTACAGTCGTCTGCAGTGTGGTACACAATTGTGGCATAGCGTACAGTATGTTCAGGGTGTGGTACACAATTGTGGCACAGAGTACAAAACGTCCACAGAGTGGTACACAATTGTGGCATAGCGTACAGTATGTTCACGGTGTAGTACACAATTGTGGCATAGCGTACAATACGTCAGAGAGTTGTACACACTTGTGGCACAGAGTACAAAACGTCCACAGAGTGGTACACAATTGTGGCATGGCGTACAGTATGTTCACGGTATAGTACACAATTGTGGCATAGCGTACAATACGTCCAGAGAGTGGTACACAATTGTGGCATGGCGTACAGTATGTTCACGGTGTAGTACACAATTGTGGCATGGCATACAATACGTCCAGAGAGTGGTACACAATTGTGGAACAGAGTACTAAACGTCCACAGAGTGGTACACAATTGTGGCATAGCCTACAGTATGTTCAAGGTGTGGTACACAATTTAAAAACAAATAATTAATTTTTTCTTATTTTTTTTTTCATGAAAAAATAAAGTCTTCCATCATAACATTCGTTACATAATGACACATACAATATACATGAATATATCATCCAACATATCAGGCTGTGACACAGTTAAACCTCCGATATATAATGGTGTATAGGGTGTTGTGTGTATATCCAACATATCAGGCTGTGACACAGTTAAACCTCCGATATATAATGGTGTATAGGGTGTTGTGTGTAGTGCCACATCCAACATATCAGGCTGTGACACAGTTAAACCTCCGATATATAATGGTGTATAGGGTGTTGTGTGTAGTGCCACATCCAACATATCAGGCTGTGACACAGTTAAACCTCCGATATATAATGGTGTATAGGGTGTTGTGTGTAGTGCCACATCCAACATATCAGGCTGTGACACAGTTAAACCTCCGATATATAATGGTGTATAGGGTGTTGTGTGTAGTGCCACATCCAACATATCAGGCTGTGACACAGTTAAACCTCCGATATATAATGGTGTATAGGGTGTTGTGTGTAGTGCCACATCCAACATATCAGGCTGTGACACAGTTAAACCTCCGATATATAATGGTGTATAGGGTGTTGTGTGTAGTGCCACATCCAACATATCAGGCTGTGACACAGTTAAACCTCCGATATATAATGGTGTATAGGGTGTTGTGTGTAGTGCCACATCCAACATATCAGGCTGTGACACAGTTAAACCTCCGATATATATAATGGTGTATAGGCTGTGGTTAAACCTGTATGTGTATAGGGTGTTGTGTGTAGTGCCACATCCAACATATCAGGCTGTGACACAGTTAAACCTCCGATATATAATGGTGTATAGGGTGTTGTGTGTAGTGCCACATCCAACATATCAGGCTGTGACACAGTTAAACCTCCGATATATAATGGTGTATAGGGTGTTGTGTGTAGTGCCACATCCAACATATCAGGCTGTGACACAGTTAAACCTCCGATATATAATGGTGTATAGGGTGTTGTGTGTAGTGCCACATCCAACATATCAGGCTGTGACACAGTTAAACCTCCGATATATAATGGTGTATAGGGTGTTGTGTGTAGTGCCACATCCAACATATCAGGCTGTGACACAGTTAAACCTCCGATATATAATGGTGTATAGGGTGTTGTGTGTAGTGCCACATCCAACATATCAGGCTGTGACACAGTTAAACCTCCGATATATAATGGTGTATAGGGTGTTGTGTGTAGTGCCACATCCAACATATCAGGCTGTGACACAGTTAAACCTCCGATATATAATGGTGTATAGGGTGTTGTGTGTAGTGCCACATCCAACATATCAGGCTGTGACACAGTTAAACCTCCGATATATAATGGTGTATAGGGTGTTGTGTGTAGCGCCACATCCAACATATCAGGCTGTGACACAGTTAAACCTCCGATATATAATGGTGTATAGGGTGTTGTGTGTAGTGCCACATCCAACATATCATGTTTTATCAACGTGCGCAGCATGCTGTGTTCAGTGTTGTATATGGCCTCATATCAGACATAGCATGTTGTATATGGGTCACAACCAACATATGTTGTATATTTCGCAACTTCCAAAATAAGTTGTATATAATGTCATATCTGATATATCATAAGTATATAGTATTACATCCCATATGTCATGTTGTAAATAGCATCATATATGAACATATCATATTGTTTATAGCACCACATCTGACATATCATACTGTATATAGTGCAACACCCGACATAGCATATTGTATATAGTGTCACGGCCAATCTATCGTGTTGTACATAGTGTATTATCTGATATACATTGTAAATATGTCTTATCTAACATATGTTGTATATAGTGCCACAATTATTCTGACATGTCATGCTGTGTCTTGTGTCACATCCAATGTGTTGTGTTATATATTCCGCAACATCCGAGTTATTGTGTTGTATATTGTGTCATATATCCAACCTATAATATGTGTTCCCAAAGTTACACCAGTGCCATTAACTAACTAGTCAATATATAACTAAAACAAAGATAATTTTTCAAAAGGGGAAACAGATCAAGATTTTACAAAAGAAGCGGTTGCTGCATACACAGGTCAGGTTTGAATACTGGGAATAATGGATGCCATTTATTAGCAAATTTCTTCATTTTATTCTTCCTTTTGGCAATAAAGCTTTCAACAGAAAAAATATCTTTTAAAGTCTTTATAAAGTTATCGCATTTTGGAATGTTGTTTTTCAAAGAAGAGACATAGATCTGCCTTTTGCTGAAATGATTATATGATTAAGTAATGGGTTTTTACTTAAGGAGCCAAAATACACCAAATATTTTGTCAAATTGACTTTTTGTATCAAATAAGTGTTAAGATCCTTCCAAAACTTCTTAGTTTCACTACATTCCCAGTAAACATGGCACAACTTTTCATCTTCATGGTACACAATTGTGACATAGCGTACAATAATGCGTCCAGAGAGTGGTACACAGTTGTGGCACAGAGTACAAAACGTCCACAGTGTGGTACACAATTGTGGCAAAGCGTAAATACGTCCACAGTGCATTTCACAGTTGTGGCACAGCGTACATTACATCCAAAGTGTGGTACACAATTGTGGCATAGCGTAAAATACGTCCAGAGAGTGGTACACAGTTGTGGCACAGAGTACTAAACGTCCACAGTGTGGTACACAATGCACCCACACTGTATTTCAAAATTGTGGCATAACGAACTATACGCTCAATTTGCAGTTCAAAAACTGAAACCAACAATTCATTATATGGTAAAGTGTTATCAAAGTGCAGCCACAGAGAAATCTGTTAGCAGTTACAATTGCAGTGATATTTGTTAGGCTAACAAATTTGCAGTGTCTTCGTTGAGGTAGTTACAGTGGCAGTTTCGTCTTTGCAGCAGTTACAGTTGCGGTGTCATTTGTGAGGCAGTTACAGTTGCAGTGTCATCTTTGAGTTAGTTACAGTTGCAGTGTCATCTTTGAGGCAGTTACAGTTGCAGTGTCGTCTTTGAGGTAGTTACAGTTGCAGTGTCGTCTTTGAGGCAGTTACAGTTGCAGTGTCGTCTTTGAGGCAGTTACAGTTGCAATGTCGTCTTTGAGTCAGCTACAGTTGCAGTGTCATCTTTGAGGTAGTTTCAGTTGAGGTGTCATCTGTGAGGCAGTTACAGTTGCAATGTCGTCTTTGAGGTAGTTTCAGTTGAGGTGTCATCTGTGAGGTAGTTACAGTTGCAGTGTCGTCTTTGAGGTAGTTACAGTTGCAGTGTCGTCTTTGAGGTAGTTACAGTTTCAGTGTCGTCTTTGAGTCAGTTACAGTTGCAATGTCGTCCTTGAGTCAGTTACAGTTG